ATAAGTCTGAAATATGTCTGGGAAAAGGAAATATATATATATATATATATATATATATATATATATATATATATATATATATATATATATAAATCATTTAAGAGAAAATCGGACACAACAATCTGGAGTTTAATAGTGCAATCAAAAGGAATAGAATAAAGAAAACTACCTTCCTTCTAATTCTATAGTGCAGATTCAATAGATTAGAATCTGCGAATAATCTGACCACGAAGCTATAGAGAGTGCTCGCATGAGATAATTAGCCCGAAAATAAATTCGCCCCGTTATCTTTGTTCATTGACCACCCAACCTTCACTAATATCGTAATTGTTATGATAACCATAAAACATTTGTTCTCGAGGCAGTCTGAAAATCGTGAAATAACGTGAATAGTAAACACATGAGAAGACGATTAAAAAAAAAAGATGGTTTCTATAATAGACAAAAATAAGCGGGCGAGGTAGATGCTTATATGGAGGTGGGGAAGGGCGTTTAACACGCAGTGGAAAATGCTCAAAAGGAAGAAAAATAGACATTATTAGGAAAGGAAGAAGTTGGTGATGGAGGAAGAGAAGGGGAATAAGCGACATTATATCAAATTAAAAAAATATATATACTTTCTTTTTTTTTTTCGTTTTTTTTAACCATTATATACGCCACTGATATTTTTTGACGATTTTTTGGCCGATTTTAACATGGTTATTTGGTCGTAAATTTAATTGCTCGTCGAACCAGATTATTCAATAGATAAACACTACAATAAGTTCCAATGAGTTCGAACTTCCCTTATTAAATAGCGGGTAAAATCCGATCGAGATTTCAATATGGTGTTTTATGAAAACTTGATTTTATGTAATACCGACACTGTTTTTCCTTTAAAATACAAATGTTGATGCAAAAAAAAAATATATATATATCTGAATTTACTTACATCACAGGAAATAATTAATTCGTTTTTCATAAAATTTCTACTGTCTTTAACGGTAGACATTTTTATAAAAGATGCATTATTCCACACTGACATGTAATGTTCTGTTCATTTAACAGTGAGGTATAATGTACATTGTTAAGAAATTTTAACTGATTTGCCATAGAATTGTTTCCTCTTTTGAAAAATCAAATTTGTATAATATTAATAACCTTTGCTTATTAATAAAAAAATATTTGCTTTTGTAAATAACAATTGCAAAGTGTTTGTATAAAAAAAAAACTTAACCCGATATTATTTGGACACTTTGAGGCGATGCATATTCCATATTGCAAATATTTTTATTGGCTTTAGTTTTCTATAGATTTTTTTTGCTGTTTTAATCTAAAGTATTTTGATGTAATCTGATTTTCTAATTCTGCTAACGTATTATCTTCATCCAGAATCGTTTTTTACATTCATCAACATGGATTAGGAGAGCAACTCATTACGTTTTCTTGGTCACACGCTTTCTACTGACATGAAGTGGTGTGATTATATTGAATCAATTGCGAGGACTGCTAAGACGTTTAGTACACTGTGTCGTGACGAACATATGTTTAATCGTCAGAATCCACCTTGCACGTTTACAAATCTACCATTAGTCCATGCACTGGATATTGCTGCCATATCTGGTCTGGAGATTTGGCTATATATCTCAAGGTTCTCGATAAAAAATCCATAGATGTGTCTGTAATGTTATCAGTCGTGAACTGGCATACCAACTTCAAGGATATAGCCTTTCTCTGTCTTTTCTACAAATATTTTTTTATAGACGGTCTTCTAATGAGCTCCCCTCTTTGGTACGTCGACCGCATGAATGTGAGCCTACGACTAGATTGGCAATTAGATCTCATTTTTTTTTGCTACTGAATTAGCTAAATGTAACCGTAAGTTCTATCCTAATAGTTTCTTTACTTTCTTCGGCTCACTTGCTTCAGTGGCACCTACAATCTTCTGTCTTCTTTGACCTTGTTTCTTTTATCGTCTTTTCTCTGGACTAAATTCTTCTCATTCTCTTCCACGTCTAAGTAATCACAGTTGCATCTTGGTGGCATTATTGCTTTGCTTGAGATGAAAGAAAAATCATTATTTTTTTAAAATACCGACTGAACGGAACTTTAATATAATGATATGAAATTAAAGAAAATTGAAAGAATGTTAACGTCTTTGGAATACTTTGATTCGTTTTCGACGACTTTGCAGGTTATTATAGCGAGAAAATATTTTAAATTGTATAATTTTTTTAGATAATAAAATTTAGTGATGCAAGTCTTACTAATTAACCCATATCTGGGGAGAAAAGAGGAAGACTCATACGTTTCCCAAGAGCATTTGCAGACAAGTGAAAATAACGAAGCCAAAGGGAATTGGAACTCGCTTCTTCGATTAAAAATTTCGTGCTATTATCCATTACACCATTCGCATATCAACGCCTATAGCACCTGATATTCCCAAGCGGTCGCCCATCTAGGTACTGACAAGGCTTGACATTGCTTAACTTCAGTGATCGTACACGAAGCGATGCTTCAATATAATGTAGTCTTAAGCTTTGGAATATTGCTCTACTATTTGTTAATCAGTAAAAAAAATCAAATGTAACCTCTTTTAAACAGGATCTGTTGTTTTTCAAGCTGAAATAAATTATACGCTTGTTACGTCCGCAAGAGTTTCTCCCTTGAATTATTTAACCCTTACATACACACTATCCTAAGAGGAATAGAAGATTTACCAGGATTTATTGACAACATACAATACGCGGATACTACTGTGTTGATGCCAGTCTCTGAATGAAAACATAGAAAAAAACAAAATAATGGTGAACTATTAACTGTAACAAAAATACATTTTTATCAGCAAAATAAACAGATGTGAGCTACTTAATGAGGATGTTACATTCAAGCAGGTCAAAAAGTTTTAACTCTATTGATAATACATTAACAGATGATGGAAAATATGACAAGGGAAGCGGAAACGCAAATGAATATCGAATGACGCCTTCTAGAAATTAAACAATGTGTTGAGAAAGAGAAATGTGAATAGAAAAGAAAATGGGGTGCGATGGATAAAATGTCGTCTGAATTAATAAAAAAGGAAAATAAACTTGACATCTCGTTTTAGAATGAAACAAACGTGATAAACCGCTATGCAATGTTCTATTTTAATGATAATTGGTAATGTTAGCCGTTTCCCTACAAAGAAACATTTGGCATTCATTGATCCCGCAGTTATTGCTGTTTTTGTTTGTATTTCATAATTTTTTTTTTCTTAAAACACATTTTTAAGAAATCAGGTTTCTCAAGTCCATTAACTGTTAGTGCTCTTTCCAATATTGATGGGGTTTTCCTTCCTAAAATTACTAATTAGATTAGTGTGTAATTTTAGTATCTTCATTATGGCATTATTTTCTTTATGTTCATTATTTTAGTTGTTTGCGATTGTGCAGCACCAGTTTATGATTTTCGAAGGCAAATGAATTTTTCGACCGTCTTCTTAAATGAGGCAAGCGGAAGTGACAGAGATGCAGTGCTAAAGTCGGAGGCTGAGAACAACATAAATGAGAATGTGAGCCTCGAGAATGTTTTAAAGTAAAGAGCAGCAAGAAGACGTACTTACCAGAAAGGAACTCCTGAAATGTCTGGGGCATATAATGAGGAGAGACGTTGTGGAGAATCTAAATGTCTCAGGACATAATGAATGTAAGAGAAGTAAGGATAAAATAAACAGATCACAGAACAATCAATAAAGCAATTGAAGATTTTCTGAACATCGCTAATACTGCATTTAAAATGACACAAAAATATATTTAAGATATATTAAAAAGGCAATAGGATATGGAGAGTAGTGTGTTGTAAGCAAAGAGATGAAAACAAAAGCTGCAGTTGTAAATGTAAACAGAGAGAGAATATGCAGAATATTCAGAAAATTGGCTTTCAATTTTCAGAGAGCATCAAAAATTCGTTAGTTCGGAAACGAAATACATGAAAGATAATTTCTTTAAAGTAATTTTTACTGGTGTATTTAGATAGTGGAGTAAAGGATAGCGGCCCAGATTGAGGAATCAGAGAGCCGAGTTCGAATCCCCGTTGAATCCATTACATTTACTTACCAGCTAATACCCTTGGGAAAAGTTTGAATCATTTTCTTCTCGCCCCGCCAGCTATGGGTAAATAGGGTTCTATAGCATTGGATGGCAACTACCGCAGAAAGAAATGGTAAAAATCTGCCTTGTCAGTCGAAAGATACATGAACGCCTACGAGTGTATCACGCATGGAACATAACTAACTGAAGGGTGATGGAGGTAACACTTTTCTAGGTCTTTGTGTTATATGCCTGATAGTCAGGAATGCGAACCTTGGATTAATTTCGAAGGAAGATATACATATCAGTATCGTTCCATATAGCAGAACCAATGTTCACTATTTACATTATTCCTACTATTGCCCTTATCTTTGTCGGCATATTTATTACAACCTTTCAACCTTTGTACGCTCCGGCCTTCCTCAGGTGGTTGGAATGTAGAACTGAAACCTTTATTTCGCTGGGGTAGACTGTTTTGTTCCACGTACCATGTCTAATGGACGCCAGTTATCAGTTATAGCCTGTCAATTCCCCCTCCAAGTTCTCTGCCGCCTTAACCATGTATGGAACTCACACTCTTTGGGTCCAGTCACAGGATCTAACTAACGCCTTTATCCACTGAGCTATGTGTCCTTTCTGGGTATTATAAACCTAATATCTTCAGCAACCATTGAGCAAAATAAGGAATTCAATTCGCCATTCCAACGACCTGAAGAAGTCCGGAGCGTACAACGGCTGACACGTTGTAATAAATATGGCGATAAAGATAAGGACAATACTCCAAATAATATAAATAGTGTACATAATACCGCATCTCAGAAATCTAGACAGATACAGAACCAATGTTGCATTACAGTTCAGTAATTTTTTTTTTTTTTTTTGGTTTCCTTCTTAATAAGATTATGTTTTGGAAGACATCTTTCGTTGTTCCAATACACATTCGGATTTCAGGGCGGTATTTTCCGTCCTTTCTCATAACATTTTCTTGATACTGAGCATATTTTTGTACTTGCTTCAGTTTGGTGCCGTCAATTTGTTGTTCCTATCTCAGGTTGTTCTTTTTGCTGACAAACATGCATTGTCTTCTCTTATCTTACATGGTATTGTTCTCTCTTATCTTACATGATATTTTATTTATGTATTATAGATCAGCTTTTCGTATATTTCTTTTATTTTGTTCTTGCTTTTGTTGCTATTTAAATGAATTATAAAAGAATTTACTCAAAAATCATACACAACTACGTGAGAAAGGAGATTTTGCAATCAGAGGCTTAGTCTGAGCAATGAAAAGTACAAACATTCCACAACATTGTCCCAATACTATTGGCAAATAAATGAAGGGGTCAGGGTAAGTCCAAAATTTCGAGTAGCATACATGCGTTTAGCTGAAAGGCCAATAAATGTAACCTGTGTAGGCCAACAAAAAACTGGTGATTTTGCAAAATGCTATAAAGGTGACAGGATCTCGTGTCTGTCTGCAAGCATAAAACTAAAATTCTTGATCAAGAATGTTGGTGCGGGAAAAGCTTAAAACGTTTGTCCAACTGCTTCTCTTCCTCATCTGGTCCTACATAGTAGCACACCACATACGCGACGAATCTATCACTCTTTTCCACCAACCTCAGCCTGCTTCCCCTGCTCACGTAATTCCTTGAGAGATGAGCCCAAGATGCTAATTACAAATAGTAGACAACAATATCCAACAAGCACAAAAATTGAATATCAGGGCAATGTTCCAATATAGGAAGGAAAGTGTGACACTGAAATCCGAAGACGTATTGCGATAGCCAAAGATGCTTTCCAAATAATGAATAAAGTATTAAGAAACAGAAAGACTTCGTCAGAAACATAGAAAAGAATACTGAACCGTTACGACATATCTGTCCTACAATATAGTAGTGAATACTGGTAAATCTCCTGAAAAAATGAATATGAGACTTCAGGCTGCAGAAATTCGGTTCTTATATATATATATATATATATATATATATATATTAAAATTCAGATGTCTGTCAAGGCAGAAGGAAATATCTTCAGTTTTTCATTGTCTCTCCAAAAATATTGACATAAAGTGCATTGCGCACGATGCATTGAAAACAAATGTCGGAAATGTTTCTTCAGGGTAATTAGAGAGAATGTACGTCCTTATGATCACATAAAATCTAAGACGAATCATATCAAAATACCTGGGAAATATGCGAAGATGCTAATCAGTAGAATAATAAAGGCAATCTACAGGATCATTATAAATGTTAAGATTATAAAAAAACAGCATAAAAAATTGTAATAATGATGATAACATTGACAGTAGATAAACAATAAAAAAAAACATTAATAGTCACGAAAAGTAATGCGGATAATGTATCTGGTAAGAAAACTCCACAAAAACATCGATGTTAAATGTGTTGTTAAAAACAAGACAAAAATCGATGATTTGAAACAAAGCCAACACAGAGATCCAGATAGATTTGAAAAGAACAAAGAAAATCAATTTCCAAATCTGTTGTCTATATGCCCTTTCCTTGCTTATTTAGCCTGAGGTCTTCCACTGCATCAATTCGTTTCTAATAATAATTTCATCGTGTGTTTATATAAGAACGCGTGAATGTTATCTACCTATGTGTCAGTCTACACGTTTGCTTACGTCAAGCAATGTATGCAAAAATAGTTGTGAGTTTTGTTTTTGATATAAGTTCTGCATATGTTAGCGTGAGTTCATGAGGGTCGGGTGTGTTTCAGACACATTATGAAGTGTAATTGCCAGAAGAATTCTTTTGGGTTTTGGCAAGAGTACAGAACAAAAAAAAAATCGAAAATACATATGAAAATAAATACAATGTATCTGAACTCTAATAGAAAATGAGTAATTCCTATTATGAATAAAGCTAACTGTTGCTATCTCAAATTTGGACGGCATTTTTTGGAATAAACTCAAAATAATGATAAATTGAGAAGCAAAACTGAGTTCCATAACTAGTGAGTGATTTATAGATGTGTTGACGATGAGCAAAAACTTTGTATAGGGATTGAAATGACCCCATCATTCAGACGCCAAAAGTACTAAAGATAAACCTTTCTAAAGCAGAAATTATGATCTGGAATTAGAAAGAAAGCAATGATGGCACCTACCCTAAATCCATCATAAAATGGCTGTGGAATACTAACACTTTAAGTACCTCGCTATTTACAGTAAAAACAAATTTATTATGGAAGAATGAGATTTGATGCAAATTAAAATACTAATAAACTAAATCTTTACTGTACCAACTGTAGTAATCCCCACTAGAAGAATATAGGAGAAAACTCAAAGTTTTTAAATAAAATATTATAGGAACAGAAAAGAGATATTTTACAAAAGAAACTTAATGCGTTTTTCGCTCACTGTAATGAGTTTGATCATAATGTCAAATATAAAAGTCTGCCTTATTTAAAAGAGAAAACAGTTTCTTAA